AAAATATATAAAACATAAAATAACAAAAATATAAGATACGTGTAATTTAATAAAATCAAATTAGTGGTAATATTTCATACACTAATTTAAATTATGAAATTAATTTAACATTTTATCACACTTTACTTTGTCATGTACGTCCCAACCCTATTTATATAACATTTTATTGTATTTTATAATTAAAATATTTCAGCTTAAAACAACTTTTTATTATTTTTTTCCATTGCCGTTAACAAGTGGACTACAATATAAAAATAAAAAAAATAATAATAATATTATTTATATTAATCCCTACAGAATTTAAAAATAATTCCTTCATGTTGAAGATCGTTCCACTGGAAAATATTTTTTAAATTGGAGAAAGAAAAACATGATCAGATAGAACGACAGTGCTGGAAACGTGTATAGCGCAAGCCACGAGGAGACGCATGTTCAGAACCACGTCAGCGTCTGCCACGTGGCGACAATCAATTACTCAACCTGGAAGTCTGCGAACGTCAATTGAAATTAACATGTGAACCCGCACGTGTCAGCTTCTCCTTTATTTCGCAGTCGCTGTCAGAAGACAACTGGAAAGTGGCAAACATCAGATAATATATTAAGCAACATTGCGTGGTCCGTGCTGTTCACTCCCCACAACGATATTTAAGATATTTTATATATGATTAGTGCTGTGGTCGGTCCACTATATTAAATTAAAATCGAATTGACTTACATAGTAGATTTTAAACTAAAATAAAATATTTAAATTTAAAAATTAAACTGTGCTCAAATGATAAAAATATATAAAATTTATATTTAGATAAATTTTTTTATAAAAAATATAAAATCAATTATTAGAATACATATCATTAATAATTTAATTAAAATAAATTATAATTTATAAATACTTTTACTCTTTTAAATCAGATAATTGATATTGAAAATTTAAGATTAGCATAGTAATTATTTATTGTAAATTAATTTGCAAATGATTGATCCGTGCTTCTTCACGTATACCTACCACCCATGGATTATCAGAAACCCTAATTTAAATAGGATTAATTAATGGTAATCGTGAAAAAACAGAATATCAAACATCAAGCATGACATACGGTTCATTGTGTTTTTCTTTTAAAATATAATTTATAGGGAGACATGATCGATAAAAGGCGTGGGATCACACGCCAACAGGGGAGCGTGGAAAGAAGAACCAACACAAGAATCTCGTATTCCACGATCTCGCCACGTGGTGATATCTTCCCCATAATTTTTTTTTTTTTTTTTTTTTTGTCAAAATAAAAAACGGCAAAGCGGTTTTAAGGAAGAGACTCCAAACAGGAGACGGAATAGCCGTCTTTGTAGGATTTTTTTAAATATATATAAAATATTTTATTAACATAAATCATGGTACTTCTTTGTAAAAAAAAAAGCAAAAAAGAAGGCCAATAATTAACTGCCATGTGTACTTTTAGCTGTCAAACGCGCATTATTCTGACACGTCATATGCAACATTTACAAAAATGCCATTCAATTTGATGAAGTAGTAGTATCTAAATTTCTTTGACTTGAATTAATTTTAAAATTTAAATACTCGACTGATTATAAAAATAACAACATAATTAAATAACAAAGGAAAATTAAGGAACGTTGGACTATTTTTAAGTAAATTATATTTGTGTAACAGGTATGTATTAAATTTATATTAATAATTATAACAAATCCTAATTATCTGATAAAATTTTATAAATTAAAATTGTTTATTAGTAAAGATATAAGACCAGCTTTGCTCTACCTATCGTACAAGATAATTTCTTATGTCTCTAAAATATGAGCACCACCGTAGCCAAAATTCTCTCAAGGCAATGGGAGATTATAGAACACAGGGAAATACATCTGCATCTTATGAACGGTTCAGGATATTGCACTAGGAGGCAACAGATTAATTATCTGCTCAATTACTCCTCCTACTGTCAGGAGGCGATGATGTACGAAGCATCAGAAAGGCAACTGGTGGCGAGCTTTCCTCTAGTTCGCTAACACGCTGGAGAGTGACTTGTTGATGAATTCTGTGTCATCAAGCACCTGAATAGAGGAGATGTCAGAGTAAAGTTGTAATTTACTCTAAATTTATTTGGTATAATAATTATAGAACCTGGATTTGTGAAGCACTGAGGCAAAATAGTAACTAACACTCATGTATTATGCATTTGGAGCGAGGCAAAAATAGTAACTTCGAATGATTTTTGCGATGGTTGTGGTGGGGATATTGATGATTCCATTTTGGGTCAATTCTTGAAATATTCAATCATGTAAGGCTGCTACTTACTACTAAGACCTCCTGTTATTTCTTTATCATTATCTAATCATATGAATCGTAAGAGCAGTATGAAATTCTTTATAAATTTACAAACCTGAGGCAAATAAGTAAAGAAAAGTGTTGACTGGTGTTCGGTGTCACTGTGTTGGATATTTGTTGATCATTGTAATGTTTCAACCTCATACAATGAAGTGTAAATTCATGAATGTCTATCAGTTTGGACAATTTTTCAGCTTAAAAGCAAACATTGTACAGCTTATTTGGCTTTTAAAATCAGAAAAATAATAAGGTATCAAACAGTTTTCTAAGTTATAGGAATTTAAACTCCATGAGCTTAAAGCAGAAAATTATTTAACCAATCCAAACGGACAACTTCTGAGGACGCCATCCTCACTGGACATAGAACATGCTAATGACAGTTGAAACCAAGATGATCTGGTCTAGTAGGCATGATAATCAACAGTTTTTCCTTCAAAAGCGGATCCAGAATATTTTGGAAAACATGTTCAGGTTAATAAAATAAATAAAATGGTCTTATAGATTATTAGGTTCTGATATACCACGGTGCAACATTCTTGCTCCAAAAGATTGTTTCTGAGTTGAACAATTGCACCTTAGAACAGAATGTACAAAACAAGAAAATCTTTGAACATCTTCTAACTGGTAAATTAGTAGATGATACTTTAAGCTGAAGGCACACTATAACAGAGAAATCACTCACCTGAAGACTGTAGTAGATCCATGGACGAACCCACTGTTTATATGCACAAGACTGGCAACACAGGAAATGAACACAATGCTGCAGATATTGAAGCTTCTAATAAAGGATGGGCAAGCTGGCATCTGTAATTACATGGATTCTAAGCTGGCCCGAAATGGCTTTTGAGTATTCTTCAGCATTATCCATAATTTTTTGGGGAAAAAAAGGAAACATGTAAAAAAAAAAAAAACTCTTTTAAGTGAAGGGTCTCCTGGGGAGACCTATGATTCACTAATCAGCTTGAATAGTACTGAATTAACTGACATTAGGCCAACAACTCAAATTCCACAACTCTGCAACCAAAAAATTGGACCCCAACAAGTCAATTCCCAGAGATCAATTCCACTACTTCAAAGATTGGGAATCTAATCTGAATAGCAATATAATACACCATTTTATGGGGCACTAACAAATACCTTCAACCTGCCATTGGACCCAGAAGCTACTCCATCCATCAACTTCTTCCTCTGACCTCTACAGGGATCACGCCAAACTGTTATTTAAGCAAATGGGTATTATCCAAAATCAGCTAAGACACTACGCGGAACAATTTAAAGTTACACATATGAAAAAGAAAATCTGATTTGGTCTGCAAGTTTCTCTGAGAAAGAAAATAAGAGAAAGTGAGAGGAGAAATGTAACGATCAGAAAATTTTAAAAGAAATAAATTATAAATTGAATGGGGAAGTAAAATAATAGCATTATGGTTTATATTTCTTACATAATAATTCAAAATATCTAATAGAGTTACGGAAATATTCTTTCTAAAAAAACAACAAAAAATCAAAGAAATAAATGGAAAATAAACAACTGGACATCCTATTCGCAACCCTCTTTTTAAATCGAGATCTTGATCTTGATTCTTTTTATCTGAAATGGTTAATGAAAGAGTGAGTTACACTAATGTCACACTACTTATCGATACAGAAATGAAAGTTGGTAAAAATTATGAAAACAACTAATTGAGCTCTTAATGTACGTAAATTTATTTATTATAAATAAAATTATTTATTGTACACTTAACGTATCAAAATTTTTAAAACTGACCTATAGAGACAATAACACAAAAAATGTCATAATTTCATATTCAATTAATTAGAACAACAACTTTCCATTTTTATCTGCCTATTGATATTAGTGGGGATCCATAAGTATGTCTCCACTACGCGTGAATCCTTATTTAACATTGTCAACTAACCGACCGTCCTTATACCGTGTCCGGTATGAGTGCTAAAAATACCATATTTCAATATCCTGTCCAGTATGAGGGTGAAACGGGCCGTCCTCATATCCCGTCTGGTTTGAGAACTAAAATGCCAATCTTCGATACCCCATCCAGTATGAGGCAACGTTCACGGTAAAATTCCCTATGCATCCGGTCCATCCACCATCTCCTGTAATATCCAGTAAGGTTATCATTCATTCATTCACTTAATCAAACAATTTTCCGTTTACATTTAATTTTTAGTTTCACAATTTAATTATAAATCACGCCAAACAAGCAATGCATGCATCAATGAAACACAATTAAATTATCATACCAACTACAATGTATTATTATGCGTTTGAAACTGTAAAATTAATCAATCAGTTAAAATATGACAAACAGTAATAAATAACCAGTTCCGGCTCTATTAGTAACCAATAATTAATTATCGAGGATTTCTAAATTACATAAAATGTCGTGTTATTTATAATTAAATTTTAATTTCATAATAAGGAATAAGGTAAGAGATTTTTACCCAAATCGGTATTCGAAACACTAAACTCTCAGCTGCGTCTACTGGCGGTCCCCGGGTTCCTTAAATTTTCCTTCGGAGATTAAAACACGCTTCAAGTACCTAAAAATACCCCAAAAAACTCAAAATCAGTGTTAAAATCCTTTTTCGGCCAATTTCAAAATTTCGGCACGACGACACCACCATGCTCCGGCAACGGCACCTTTGCCTGCGACGGTGGTTTATTTCGAACTGGTCATTTTCGGCCGATTTTATACTCATCCATGCGAGAAAACACGTTAAGGGACCACAGTTGGCCCAAAAAAATTAAAAAATAGAAACTTACTGGCGGTGGGGTTTTTCGGTATGGCAGTTCTGCCGGCTCACCTTTGCAGTTGGACATTTTTCTTCGGTTAACCTGTGAGAAATAGAATGGTGACTACAATGATAAAAAAATTGCACAAAACGGGAATCGGGAAGAGTCTCATCAGAGGCAGTTTTTGGTTTTTCCTGCAGCGGCACCACCGAGTTTTACCCCTGATTTCCAACTCATCCGTCGGTCTTTTTGCTCTGATTTGGCAATGGGGGTATTCAAAATTAAATTTCAAGCGAATGAATTTTTTTTTACCTTTTTTGGCGGTTGGAGGTGGCTCCAGCACGGCGGCGGGTGGCGGTCGGCTCCCTTTCCCGGCGATTGGTTCTTCTTCTCCGATGGGGGGCTGGCGGTTAGGGTTAGAGTTCGGTGTGAAGTGAGATATTTATATAAATCTCCCTTTAATCTGTACCGTACATCGCATTTAATCTCTACCGTCTGATCGCGTTTAAAGAAAAAATAAATCTGTACTGTTCATCGCAATTTAATTTGGACCATACGATCACGTTTAAAGAGGGAACAGATCCAGATCGTCAACGCGCGCAGAAACAAATCTGAACCGTCTGATCGCGAGTACGCAGATTACTGTAGTTTCCCACGTTGCACCGAGTCAGCGTGCTTTGCCACGCGGCACGCTCCAGTTCGTCGGAGCTGCTGACTGAGGTGTGCTACGTGGCACATTTTTCATAAACTGCGTTTTGACCACAGTTTCTGATTTTTTTTAAAAAAAATATCTATCGAATCTAAATTTTTTCTATTTTTTCCAAAATTATTTTCAATTATATCATCTATCTATTTTTTTTTAATTTTTACATTAAATAAACATTTATAAATTTAAAAAATTATATTTTATACATTAATTTAAAATTTTTAAAATTAATTCTGTGTATTACAAGAAACCTGACTGAGTCATGACCCAATGCCGCCGGAGACAAGAGCAGTCTTGCTACTGAGACACCATCTCGGGTTCATGAGTTTGGTATGACGCGCTTCGGTCCCGCCATTGTTTTCCAGGTCTCTCCTGCTCACTGCGGCTATGCTCTTTTTTGTGTAAAGTAAACACACACAAACAACTGGTCCATGCAATAAATCATAGTTCCGGAATATGCAGAAAATTTTCCACTGTCTCATATCAGTCGTAGAGACACTACTAGCACCAAATGCGCGCAAAGAAAACATAAAGACCTAAATTTTAATAATATAAAGAAAATATAGATTTTTTAGTTATTAGAAAAATAATATAAATATTATTTGAATAAAACACATATAACAGTAAAAAATTATGATATTTTAACTTTTAGTGGAAGATGCATAGAATGTATGAGTGAAGATAAAAAATAAATTACCTATCATTTTTATAACTCATAATCACAGTACTTGAATCCAAATAAAAGTTTATAAATAATAATAATAATATTCACATTCTAATTTTTATATTCAAATCAACAATTATTATATTAAATAAATAAATAATTATTATTTATATTATCGCATTAATTTTATTTAATATCTTTAAAAATTATTTTTATATATTAAAATTTTAAATAAATCATAACATATTATAATATTAAATATAAAATAATTTTTAAAAAAAAAAAAAAAAAATTAACAAATCAATCTCCACTCTACTTATATATTTAACTTATTTATATAATATTTAATAAATAAATTATTGACAGTTTCACCGCCAGTGAGTTTTTAAATAACATAATAATCATGGATATTAAATTTTTTTAAAAAAAATTAAATGAAAATTAAATTAATATAATTACATCGTGTGAAAAGGTAGAGAAGTCACAACCGAACAAGATGGTTAAAGTTTATTTATTCAAATTAAGAATTTAATTATTCAAAAAGTTGAAAAAGAGACGAAACGATTTTCACAATTAAGCCGAACAGAAGAAATTAGCAGAAACCCATAAACCATTATTAGAGAATGTGTTGAAGACACGAGTAATAAAAACATCAATACATAAGAATTTACGATTTCTCTCATTCTTGGACTGTCATCCTTCCTGTAAATCACAATATTATCAGGCCAAAGGCAGATTACCTTTCAGATGTGTCGTAAATGAACCTAATCTTTTGTCGGATGCATTTAAGTTTGGCATCTCCAATATGTTGTTGAGCTAGAATTTCATATTTATACCAACTGTTTAACCAACAAAATGTACAGACAAAAGAATGTAGAGATTTCACCGTCACCGCTTTCTGAGATGGGGAAAATCACAGTCTATAGATGTAAACAAAAAATGAAGCTTACCGAAGTGGTGCTCTAGACCGTTTGACTTTGTGATCTCCAGAGAGTACTCTATGTGCTTCCTCCAGAAGTTTCTGCTTGTAATTTAATAAGCAATTCACAGGATAAGTAGCCATCCCAACAATCTACAAGAATGAAAAAAAAAATAAAAAATGACACAATGACATCGAGTGATTCTGCATGTATGTGATTTATTTCTCTTCTTCAAACTTGGTTGGCATTTTAGTCTGCTGCACTTCAAGTAGTAGCTTCTGCTGTTCCTCATCATCCTGTTGTGCATTAACTTGTTGAACAGCTTTTGGCTTATTGCTTGCGGACTGCTGGTATAAAACTCCTCCTAGCATGCAAACCAAAAGCCCGACTGTCCCTACAGGTGTTGAATGCTTGTCCCAAATCACCAAATTAATAACAACCGTCAACAGCTTGTTCACTATACCAAGAACAGTAAAACCAGTTGCAGAAATTGCCCTTCGGCATGAGAAGCCGAAAAAGGAGATTGCCAATCCAAACAAGCAAGATAACCCCACCGGCAAAACTACTTCAAATGAATACCAATCAGACTCATCATGAATTTCGCGCTTTATCTTCTTCAACTCCCCCATTATAAGTAACTCCAAAGGAAACAACAGCAGAGCCTCGAGATTATTATAAAGTACAAGACCCCATGTATTTAGACCAATCGTCATAACCACGTGCTTGATATAAACAAAATCTATGGACATGCTCACTAGGTAAGCTATAGCCCAGCTATATGCTGTGAATGAGAATTGGTAATCTGTGACAACGTAAAGCACACTTCCTCCAAAGATAGTGGCAAGTGAAGCCCATGTCCTCACTGATGGCCATGGCTGGTGCAAGAAGAGGGTCTCACCTATGGCCACAAAGATAGGAACTGCTGACCGGAAGACAATGAATGTGTCAACATTAGCATGAAGGAGAAGCTCACTGTTGGTGAAAAGGGAGAGGTAAAATATAATAGCAGCAGGCAGAAACCGCCACATTGTCACAAGTTCAAGAGAGTCGTGCTCAATGAACTTGAACCAGCCACAGATGAGAACTCCAGCTGCACTTGTGAAGTACTGTAATGCAGTAAGTGCCCCAGGATAAGGAAATTTCATGACAGCCCATTTATTGATGATGGAGAGAAGCGAAGCTGAGATGCAATATCCTGCAGCTATACCATAAATTGAGGCTTGCTGGAGTAAACAACTGTACCACATAAATTGGTTGTTGCTAGGTGGGGATGGGGAAGAAGCTTCCTGGCCATTCTGGGTCTCACCAGTATTACACTTCTCCGCATCACTAGACATCTACATAAACCAACAATTTTCGTTAGTACTTCCGCAACTAGAAAGAAAAAATATATATATGTATTCCAATAGTTTGAATGGTTGAAGGCATTATTTTCCTTGTAGTCAAACCCTACGGCATAAAGATAAACTGTCTAAATATTCAATCAACTGTTCATGTAGGGTACCAGTCTTGGCCTAGTAGCCAGGGCCCCTCCACCTCGTGTTACAGATCATCAGGGTTTGCTGCACAAGTGCAGCACTAGTCTGCTGTAAAATTTGCATGTCCAAAAAAAGAAACAAATAAAGGTAGTGATACTTGTCACAATGGTGAGACTGAGTAAAACTTTTGCAAAACAGATTTCTTAAAATCATGTAAAAATTTGTGAGTCGACCTGCTAGCTGATGCTCGATTCATTAAAACTCTAAAATATCATTTGCGTGCGATCCATTAATAATATATCTACAAGTGTGGGATTGTGTCATTCATTAATAAATGAAGATTTACTAATTACAATATTTACAAGCTATATGGAGCTTTAAGAGTAAACTTACATCCAAAAAGGAATATGGCACATTAAATTCTTTTTTTGAGATATCTTTGGCCCAGGTTTTCTTTTATCTCTAATCCGGGTTTAAAAAGAGAGCCTGTCACGTTAACAGACTGTTCAAGGCTAACCCCCCATGCTAGGCATTCCCTCCTAGCTGAGGGAAGTTAAGTGCTACCAAGGATGCTTTTCCCGAAGAAGACCCGAGGTACGACTGGTATTTAATGGTGTTGCTAAGGAACATCATAACAGTAGACCAACTGCCAGTGTGACCTGAATTACTCCCTGATCCATACGGCTTTACTGGTTGTGCCACCCAACCGTGCCTATGGCCACACTGCCCTACTTAGCTGGTACCTGTTCCAACCCCGCCTAGGCATACCCTCCTAGGGACGAATTATTGGTGGGAATTACACCAGCAGGCACCACAACAGGCACCAATCATACATAAAAGCCATCGCTTTTACATGGCAAATTAAATTCTAATTGATTCTTCATGTAGTCTCCTTTGCATAAGCTTTCCCAAGCCTTTCCTTTTAAAGGAGAATCCAACATCATAATCATTTGCATCATTTTCATTGGTATATATTTTTGTTTGCATATTTCGTTTTTGGGCATGTGAACCAAGCACAGAAATCAAGCATGCTCTAACAAGTTTCCACACTAAAAACAGTTTCCTTAAATAGATTCGCATACTAACTATTCATGAGCTAATCTTGATTTTTTTGTATTCATTCAAAATTCAAATCAACACAGGTTAAAACACAAAAAGAAGTGTATATTATCCTTTCCTGGAGTCATTTATTACCAAAACGGAACCCAACACATTATCTTATGCATGACATGTTGCAAATGTCTTCAACCCTTCATATTTCTAAATGTTAGAGCATCGTTAATTACAGGAAACAACAAAGAAGAAGGAAAGTTTGCCGTCAAAAACTGAGTAGGAGCGTATCAACCCAAATTATCTAATTTCCATCAGAAGAACTCACATATTACATTGAAAATAATTATCGTAAGTAGGTGAAATCATAAAAAGAAAAAGCAAAACTTATCAAACTTAAAACTATCATGGTCCTTTTCTTAATATTCTAAATAGCATAAGAAAGTCTAGACATGTATACTCCCAAGATAAACATATAAACCCAGCAAGCCAACTGTTTATAAAATACAATTAAAGAATCCGTAGCCTTTCAAACTATCCAAAAACAGACAGTCATACTGCCATGGTATGATAATCTGTCCTTTTTTTTTAAGTTGAAAGATGTATTGATTGATCCTAATTATTCACATGGTAGGGTTTCATGAATATTTAGATAAAATTCATATGAAGTCCTCGGCCCAGAGCATATAACTCGCTCTATCAAATAGATCATGGAAAAATTCTCAAATTTCTTTTCAATAGATAATATAACCTTTATATCTAAAAGTAGAATTAGCAAATTAGACCAGACACTTCGGGGGAGCTATAGGAACTTAACTGTTAAAATTATGATCAAAACTTCAAAACATCTTATTAAAGAAAAAGTATTTTATAGCCAAGCTTACATCAAGTGACAAGAAAGCAGGGGGGGAAGAGAGAGCAGCGGGGGAACTGTGCTAGAGTCACATACTTTATGCAAAAAGAATCTCTATTAGATCCCTAAGACCACATTTTCTCAATCCAGTAACAATGCCTGCTCATTTAGCAATTATCATGCCATCATAACAGAAACTAAGGAATTTACTAGACGTAAAATCATGCCAAAATCATCAATTTCATTCATCAGTCAATGGCAAGTCTACATCTCAAAAGAATCACAAATCATCCACAATGAGCATTCACATCATCCCAAAAGAAAAGTTACAAAAACAAGGAAGGTTTTACTCACTTGAGCTGAATCTAGCAGTCGCAACCCCCAGGCTTGTCCTTTTCAGAACTCCAGAAACCCTCTCTCTTCCTCCGCTACGTTTCCTTTTGCTCTGCTTTTTTGGTTGTTCTTTTTCTCCTTTCTTTGTTACCACTGCTTCCCTCCTTGCCCTGTGCTTTTCTGTTGTTTTTTTTTCCTCTTTTCACTCAGCCTCTCCGCTTTCGCTCCCCAGCAAATCTTCGTTCTCTTCTGCTTTTTAATAGCCGAAGACGAGCTTCTCCTCCCGATTTTCCACTGTTCCCTTTTTATCAGATCCCCATTTCTGTATCTCGCCTTCCTCACGCCTCCGCCTCGTATCTCTCTTCTGTCATCAACAACTCCATACGCCACGCTTCATCTCGTCATAATCAAACCCGCTAGTACTCTCCTCTCTCTTCGTGCTCCTCTTATGTTCTTTCGCTGAAAACAAATCTAGATATCCCTCTCATCGTCGTCGTTCATAAGGATATTTAGGTGGGGCATTCCGGGCTTAAAACGGTACCGTTTGGTGATCGGAGAGGTGTGTATGTAACATTGATTGGTTTAAGTTTTAAAAGGGCCGGGTTTAGTAGAATTTCGGTTCGGCTTTTATTAACTTGTGGGTTTTCTTTGCGTCAAATTTTCTCTCTTTTTCTTTTCTTCTTTCCTTAAAACAATATAATATTCAAACATCAACAAAAATAATAATAATAATAAAAAGATATCAGTAAGTCAAAATTTTCTTTTTCCTTTTTTGATATATATATATATATATATTTTACTTTTAAGTCAGAATAGACAAAAATTACAAAAGTTAAATTAGAAATTTTTTTCTATAATTTTAATAGTTATATTGATGAGTTCGTTGATCATCAATTCCACAAATCTCGAATCGGCTTCTGTCTCATATTACCTTATTTACTCCCTGTTGATCACAAGACTGATCACTGGTATGCTTTGTTTATTGTCCATGGAAATTAGTTAAGGAGCCAAAACATGGAGAATCTCTCTTGTCAAGACTGCAGCTATAATTTATACGAATTCAACAATCGTTTTCATTCAAAATCATAGCATGAATTCCTTAGAAAAGAAAACAGAAAATGAACCACAAGGGATTCATCCGACATTGGTATTAATCCTGCAAAAGTAGTATCACTAAGAAATAGAAATTGCTCGGGTGAACAGCTCAGGATATTTTTGCCCTTTGCACCAAAAGACAAAGAAGGTTAATCTGGCTCAGTTAATTCTCATATCAGGGGAAAATCCGTTCACAGTCATTCCTCCATCAACAGAAACAATCTGTCCTGTTATATATGCTGCAGCAGGAAGGCATAGGAATGCAACCAGTGACGAGACTTCCTCTGGTTCACCAACACGCTGAAGAGGCGTGCGAGAGACTATCTTGTCCAGGAATTCTTTGTTCTCAAGTAGCTGCACAGAGGAGAAATGAGTGAATGTTATCAAACAGTGTTGATCTAGTGTAATTATACCTAAACCTCAACTACTTTTCTGTAATTAACCTTATTATTTAAAATTTTCATGCTGAAAAAGAGAACTAAGAATATTCTGGATATACTCACATATGTATTCAAAATAATTTAGATGCCATTAACAACCTTAGAAAAGAGTTTAAAAAGAAACATGCAGGAGCAGGATAAAGAATCTTACATGTTCTGCAAGTGAGGTTCTGATATACCATGGTGCAACACAATTGGTCCTAATATTGTCGTTTGCCCACTCACAAGCAAGATTTCTTGTTAGTTGATTAATTGCACCTATAAACAGCACATAAAAAGCAAAAAATCTTTCAACATGTTCTACCTGTTACACTCTTAGATGAGACTTGTCAAAATGCTGGAACAGAAAAATTACTCACCTTTGGTAGCCCCATAAATGGACCCACTGCCTACATGCACAAGACCGGCAACAGAAGAAATGAATACAATGCTTCCTGATCCCGAAGCTTTTAACAAAGGATGTGCAAGTTGACACGTATGATACATGGATTCTAGGTTGGTGCTCATGAGTTTTGAGTATTCCTCAGCAGAGAACTCAATAGTTGGCTTTCTAATATTAGTACCGACATTGTTAACCTGGAAAGGAAGTTCTGGTTATCAAATCTTAGATAAAGCATACAGATATACTAATTCTTAAAAATCTTCCTCAAGAACTAATAAACTAATTTAATTCACAGAATGAATCCAAAAGGTTCAAGTTCACTTCAATCCGGTTAACAATCAAAATATATTGAAGGGTCAACTTTTCGTGGAAGTGAAGTTTAGCTTGAGCAGCTAAACAAAGTTGTCCACTCAAGGATCTCACAATGAAAAGTAAAACCATAAACCTACCTAAACTGCTTGCTTGTGCCTTGAAGCATTTCTTCCTTAACCTTCTTCGACGCATATAAGTATGTAATCCAGCTGGTGGATTTACACTATGCTCGTAGGTGCACATAAAAATCGAAAGTCCATGTAACTAAAGATATCTTCTGGCAGAGACACGGAGAAGATTTTTTGTTTTGTATGATTCTTAAGATGTTTCCAAGTTAAACAGTCATTAATTTGAGTTTTATATGACGAACAGACTAGTGTTTCTTTACATCCAGTACCTAATATTGGATGTTCAACTAACCATTAGTTTTCATGGTAATAAGTACCCAATGACAGTTTTCTTGAACAGTTTATGAGACAACTGCCAAAACCAGGGTGAAAATAAGCTCAGAGGGTTGGTCTTTGGTAATCCAGGTGTGGCAGGGGCAGATGGTTTAGTCAGGGATATAGTCAGGGATGAAAACTGGCAGGCATGACTAGCAATATTAGCCATGCTTCATTTGTGCAAGCTGAGCTTTGCAGAGCCATTGAAATCTTAGAACTTTTCGGAGAATGACTTCCATAGGATAAGGATAACTGGAACCTAGAGAGATGCTTTTGGAAAAGGATCCGAGTGTTCCATATAGGCATACATATTGCGTGGAAACATACACAAGTTTTTGTCTAGAAAGACTGGCAAACACACAAATGTACCGGAGCGGCGGGCTCCTTCACCATGATCTATGTGGCATAGCTTGGAGCTGGCTCTGCTATGCTTAGCCTACTCTTTGTCCCTTTAGCACCAACATAAAAAAGAACTACTAATACTAGTTCTTCTGGTTCTTATTCACCATAACTTTCTGATAAACGCACAGGAAATGAACATAACTGGAACAGAATCTATGGCAGCACAACAAGTGAATTCTACAAGATCAATCCAACATAAGCGCAACAGCTGATGATCTAATTCCAACATCAATAGAAGAGAGACAGAACCAGATGATCAACACACAGACCATTTTTGTGGGTCACTTACAAGAATGTGCAACTTGCCACTGAAACGAGAAGACACTTCCTCAATCAGCTTCTCCCTCTGGTCTCTACTCGATGCATCACAAACTGACCCAGTTACCACAAAACCCTTCCCTTGCCATTTTGTCAAACACTTGGTGAGCTCTTCTTGGTTCCTCGAACATGTGTGAACAACCGCTCCAAGCTCCGCCAATTCCTCCACCACCGCATGCCTACACCAGCCACAAAAACAAGCAAACCAAACACATAAAATTCACAAAATCGATCATTGGACATTGCAGAAAAATGGATTATTGAAAAGGAATAGGACATGGGTTCGCAATTTTCTCGAGGAAGAAAATGATGGAAAGTGAAAGGGGAAATGTACAGACCCAATTCCACGAGTGCCACCAGTAACAAGAGCAGTCATGCCATTGAGAGACCATTTTGATTTCTTGATTCCCGCAACAGCGTTATCTGCTCCCGCCATTGGTTTCTGGGTTTCTTCCTCGCGGAAATCTCTGATTCTTCGCTATGAAAACAACTGCTGGAGTTCGATAAAGCACCACTATTGTATTATCATCATCATCAAACTGCGCAGAAAAAAGAGGAAAAATAACACGTCATTTCACCGTCATAATCGTTTCTGATTATATCCCTTTAAAAAATTGTTTCTGATCATATCATATGCATCATTAATATTGAAATGGGGCAGTTGAAAATTGAGAATTAGCCCAGAACGGCCCGGTACGGGATGGAACGTGTCCACACTCGTCCAGTCGGGCCTTCAAGTATTTTCAGCCATAGTTGGATCTTGTGATGGCCCGTGATTTTTTCCAGTGTTATAAATAATATATAAATATGTGTGTGTGTGTGTGTGTATTACGTGCAAAAGAGTAATACATCCCAAAAATACATAAATTCTCTTTATATATCCCTAAAATGAACATTTAGTGAAGGTAACAGATGATCATGAAATCCCCCATGTGCACGCAACTGATCTCTGCCTTCTGCTCTGTTCTGTCTGTCAAAAAATTACACCTTAAGAACCAAAATCCTTAAATTCCCATGTCATTCTCACAACATCATCACTTTATACCTCTTCCTCATCATCTTACATAAAACCAGACACTTCCTGCAAACCTAAGCTATCCCATTACACTTTCCCTCTACATATAAATATTTAATATATATATATATATAGATATGTTTCCCTTGTTTGTATCTGGAATAAGTGACTTCCCATGCAGCAAATGAACGAAACTCACTCTCTAAAACCGCATCACACATAAGCATGAAAAACAACACTTATGGGTTAAAAAAATTTAATATGTATTTGTTACCCTGCGTATAAATATATACGTTTTTACAGCCAAAATCCCAAAAGATCAATACAAGCATTTACTTGCAGGTTAGCTTAATGCTCAGTTTCTCTCTCTCTCTCTCTCTCGATATATATACATATATATAATTGAAAAGGTCTGACGTCTGTGAAAGCAGGAAATAAGCATGAAAAAGAAACTTGAAAAGGATTTGTTCAGGGCGGGGGTTACATAAATTCCCTCTGTATATACTGCAATGTCTCAGCTGCAACAAAATAACCCGTTAAGTCAAAAGCGAGGTTTCATGCAATTTTCCTTCTTTAGAAAACGTTGAAAAAACAAACAGTACTCTCTCCTCCCCGTTTATTATGCAGCATCCATCGGTATCAATACATATCCCAATATATATATATATATATATCTAATTACTATATTATATGCTATTTTTTAAAAGAAAAAATTAATTGTCTTAAAAATTCTATCTACGTGTTGATTTCTTTAAACCACTAGAGTATTGGTTGAGTTCAGATCACTTGAAATGGTGCAGCTTAATAGCTACTAGCCACTAGTCTATAACCAACATATAGTGTGTGTATATATATAATAATAATAATAATAATAATAATCCGAATTTGAGTCTCATTTCCCATTCTATGAATTAATTTTAATGCTTGTCCCAAGAAGAATCGAGATTGGGTGCTCAAGAATATTCATATAGTAAAATAATAATAATAATTTATGACGTCATTAATGATATGTGGTGTATAAGAAAATTAAGAATTAATTGCAATATTATATAAATTGGGAGTTGGCAGAGTGTTTTGGAGTTTTAGTTTTTGTAGAGATGTGGAGACAAGAACAGAAGAGAAGAGAAATTTTGGATTTATGAGAAAATAAATAAAGAAATGATGGAGATTAATAAATTTTAATTAACAATGGGATTAATATATGATTAAATTTTCTTCTATGTAGTAATTAATTACATAAACACTTATCAGAACTTAATCATCTTTTTTTTAAAAAAAAAAAAAACCAGAAAAGGTAAATTTATGAAACTTACAGCAGATAAGTTTGATTGATTTTGTACAAATTATTGTGGGTTGTAGTAAAAACTGAATTCCTTTTGTGATAATCCTCTTCGTAACCTGTTCTGACTTAATTTTTACTGTGTTTATGCACCTCTAAAATTCCGCAGTAAAACTGACGACACATCTCTCTATGTTTTTCAGCTCAGAACCTGCAGTTAACTAGTGGTAGTAAAATTAGTACTAAATTACTGCCCCTTTTTTTTATTTTTTTGTAAAAAAAAAACAGTAATTTCATGTGGTAATTTACAAAATTTAGTAATTTATTAACCGACTCTAGTAGAGTTACAAATTACCTTAATTTGTCGTTTAATTTATTAATTTTGTAGGTGAAAATATTCTAAAATTGAAGAGTTATTGCTGATTTTATTATTATAACAATATTGTACATTTATTTGATTATTACATAAAATTATTATAAAACATATAAAATTTTGCAGCAATTTATCCATGCTACTTGTCATCCAGGTCCGTTCATCAAATGAATATTATTTTTCATTTAACCATTATTCTCTAATGGAGAGAATTGAATTAATCATTGGTGGTTACATATATACACATATCCATATATTATACATGTGGGTTTTGATGTGTTTATATATACTGCATACACATATACTTTTTAGTTTTGTAATTTCTATCAGTTGTCTCTTCTTGTTTCCCAGTGTTTCATGACATGCAGCAACCGATCAAGTGAAAGACAGTGAAAACTCATACAAAAAGTAAAACATAAAGATAAAGTTAAAGAGAAAGAATAAGGACATATATACATAAATAATATCATAATATATATATCTATGTATGTACGCACACACACACACACACAATAGACATATAAGATCTTTTAAAAAGATTAAGCTTTCAATGCTATTGATCAGATTTTGAGTGTACAAGAAGGCTATATGTGTGTATATAGATATACGCCTGTCTTGCATAAGATCAAAGAAAAGTAGCAAGAGAGAGAGAGAGAGAGAGAGAGAGAGAGAGAGAGAGAGAGAGAGAGAGAGAGAGAGAGAGAGAGAGAGATAAGTAGAAAACAAAATCATTGATGAATAACCAAACTGTCTTGTCTCCTAAAAGTACCTCAAAGCTAGCTAGCTAACAGCTTGTAATAAATCTCTATCATCAACTTCTCCTACTTAACTTTTGGTACTGCACCGCCAAGCCTCAGCTCCAGATCCAACTCATTCATGGCGTTACCTTTCCCTCCTCCATAAACATCCATCTTCAGCAAACTGCACAGCTTCTCATCTGAAATTTTCAACAATGGCGACACAGATCTTGTACTAGTACTCATACTCTTATGCCTTTTGCAGCCGATCATCATCGTCATATGATCAGCTCCATCATCATCACCATAACAAGACCCAGTTGCTGGATTTTGACCAAACACAGAATTCAGCCCCATGGAAAGATCAGTCTCAACACGAGTACTATAACCCATGATGTGAATAGAATCTGTTTGGTTATGATCACTTGGAGTATTTTCCATTGATGAATCTGAGATGTTTTGGGTAGACCCTTTTGCCCCAGAATCTGACCCAGATGGGGAATCATTACCAACTACTGGACAGATTAGCTGAAACCCTAGAGGATGATGATGATGATTATGATCAGTTGCAGAAACCCTAGACGGAGAAAGAGTAGTTTGAGGTGGTTCCAATGAATCATTATTCAATGGATTATTCATGTTGTTGGCAGTGAGTGATTGTTTAAGCTTAGCTCGGTCTCTTCTGTGGACATTCATGTGACCACCTAGGGCTTGAGCTGACCTGAACTCTCTCCTGCAAAAACTGCAGGAATAAGATCTCGGCGGCCATATACACCCGCCCGTAGACCTGGCAGCTGCTGCATCTTCTGCAAAAGCTTTCTCTTCCCATGAATCTGCTAAAGCTTGAAAATGGGTGGACTTCAGAATATGTCTGCTTCTCATGAAAAACCAGTTATACTGAGATTGCTCCATCGTACAGCTACTCCGGTATATATAAGTAAGAAGGTCAGCTACCTAGAATGAGGGTAACTTGGGACTAATTAACATTTATACACACATACACAAGAAGGAGAGTACTGTATATATCTCTCTGTTCGTATATATGTGTGTGTATATATATGTAGGAAGATAGATATATAAATTGAATGTAATGGACGAAAGGAAGTGGAGAATCTTAAAGGAATAGAAAAAAGCTGAAGAGGAAAAGTTTTGGCGCTAGCTTTTGAGGAGAGTTGAGTATTTTGCAAAGAGTTGTTTTGTAGCTAGCAATGAAGTTACCTTGTTGGTTTTTAGCTGGGTTTTTGATATATAACACAGTCAGTCACTGTTAATATGGATTTATATATTTATATTTATTAATGGCGATTTCTAGAGGAGGTCCCATTCAAGCAACTGTCAAACATTTGGTAGTATACATGCACGAAGAAAACTATTATATATGTGTATATATATATAACAGGCTACCTATTAATTAAATATACATACATATATATATATATATATATACATACATACAGCAGATAATCAGTTTCCTCTAGCTATTATTGAACGACAATCTTTGATAATTTCGATCTAGTCTAGCTACTTAAGTTAATTATTAGTTAGGTTTACTCTAGATTTAAAAAGAAATTGGGTAAAATTATGTTTTTCATACTTAAAATTTAAATTATATGATTTTTTATTATTCAATACTCCGGTTATTTAATTTTAAATTTATTTTATAAATAATTATTAACGTCTTAAATTAATATTATTTTATAACTTTCATATATTATATCCACGTTTACAATCAATCCAAACTACTTAAGATGAGAACATAATTTTTCTTGAAAACATAGTTATATATGCATAAGAGTATGTGTGTGTGTGTTTACCTACACACACGTGTGTGTATATATATATATATATATATATATATGTATTGATAATATTCTAGTGGGGGGTGCAATAGAATATTAATAATTTCAGAGAAATTAGACAAAAAAACACTTGTGAAGTTTGACAAAGACAAGTTTAATTTATATATTTTAATACGAGCATGTTGATGATAATTCATTTGGTGATTATTCTGTCATTTTCTTATATTGTGTATACTTACATATACATATGCATGTATGTATATAATATTATTTTGTTAACTAATTAATTTGTTAATTTTCTCTATGACTCTATCAAAACGTTATAATCATTCTCATTTTTCCTGGTTAGGAAATAAAAAATTATTTAATTTAATTAAAATACAAGGGGTTGATTTTCATTACTTTTCTTGTATGTGTTTTAGAATCTTTTGGTTTTTCCTTCGTTATCACGTCAAGTTTAATTAGTCTAATTTTAGACTTTCCCCAAGCTTCCTCAACCTTAATACGCATTATTCTTGCGATTACGTCACGTCTTAATATAGTTATACTTGGTAATTAAAATCTCGAAGTAATAGTAATTAAAAGTTTTGACTCTCTTAGAATTAGATTATGAGAATTTTTCTTCTAATTTTTTTAAGCCTGGTATGAATGTGTACATATATATATATATATATATATATATGTTGTGGGGAGGTGAGAGAGTTAATTAATCATATTTTGAGCTTAATAAATGAATTATAAGAGTTCTGGAACCAAATTATAAGAGAAGTGACAAGCCTCCTGCTTAACGTATTGGTTGGATCATTGCATGAAACCAACAAATATTTTTCTCAAATAAAAAGCCAAGAAAAATAATAATAATAATAATCTTGACTGGGTTAAGTCAGCAATGCTGAAATTCAAACATGGAAATCAAATAAAAAAATTACTTATAAAATTATGATCACAAAATAATTAATAAATATTCTTTTTAGTATAATGGGTCATTTTGATGTGTTACGTACGTACAATCAAGGGCCCCTAAATGATCTTTCGAAATCCAAGATGTATATATACATATATAAACTATACTGATGTTGAAAAAATATACAAACAATCACACTCTCTATAGGAGGTAGAGTTCAATTTATAATTTTTGTTAAAGAAATTCATGGTTTTGCTTCTTAAACCTTCTTTCATGCACCTCACCTCACCTCATCATATATAATATATAATATATAATATATATATACACACACACACACACACACATATAGCCTTTGAGTGCATCAAAGTATCTTGACACATTTTAGGTTCCAATAAATGTTTCTGAATATAAATCTCTGCATGTTTTTATTAACAGCTTGAACTTTCAAAAATTTTAATAATCATTTCAGTTAATTAAATTCGTACGTTTATTAATTAATTAAGTAAAATACTTGTATTAATCATAACTTAATAAAAAAAAGGTGATATATAAGTATAAAAATAAATATATAAATTATTTATTTAAATAGTTGGGAAGTGAATTTTGTTTCAATATATAGGACTCCATTATTACTGCACATTAATTATAGAAACAAACTCTGACCCTTTCCCCAAATAATTTACCTTAACTTGTAAAAATCATGTATCTCTGTCCTCATACTCAAAGCTCTGCAATTACTGGTGACTATATATACACGTGTAAGTAAGTGGTGTGATAATTAGAACACATAAAAGTAATTGTACAGTTATTGAAGGTGAAAAAACCAGTACTTAGTGGAGGAACTTATTCATCAGTAGATGTTTTATGACAATTTTGCCAGCTTTTCATCGAACCATCTTATCTTATCTTACCTGGACTTCCTTGTTCTTTTGGCCTATGGAGTACTCTGCCTTGAACCGCAACCTATTGATCATATAAAATATTCTGTCTCGAATGCAATTGTATATACACATGTACGTATATACTTGTACCTTTTTTTGAAGCCAAAAAAAAAAAAAAAGATTTGTTTATTTATTTATTTATATGTTTCAACATTAATTTTTAGCATATTGGTATTTAGAATTTTGCTCAACGTAATGATACACATAAATAATAATAATAATAATAATAAGACGCCGGAAGAAGGAGGAGGATGGTTACTAATAATTAAAGGTAGGCCAAGATGGTATATAATTTAAATTAAGGTGAGAATTATACTTTAATAACCAAAATCATTGACCAACCGCATGAAGAAGGCTAATTTAATTTCATAATTCAGTATACGTATAAATATAATGATATAATAGATTCTACCTAAAATGTCTTTATTCTCAACTTGCAACAAATATTTATTTATTTATTCATCTATTGAAAGAGAACTAATTAATTTTGATCCATGACTTGATTGCAAAACAACAAATGGATTACTTAAAATAAACAAGTACGTCGATAATTATCAATTCAAATCAGACTGCATGTGGGATAATTAATTATATGTATAAATAACTTAATTTCACAGGAGAAAAAAAAAATATATAATTAATTATACAATCTTGCCGACCAATTAGTGATTAGATCGTTAAGCATGAAATGGTAGGTGTGACATGACACTCAGTGACTGTATAGATTTATTATTCCTCGCAAACATATTTATATATGCATAAAGGTTCTTAATCTACGAAACCAACGAATAAGGGCACCGGGAGTTTAACTTTAAGATTCTCAAAAAAAGGAATAAAAATAAAAAGTACTCGTTCCTGTAAAAATTTAGAATGCGATTGCCAGGGGTAAATTTGGTTAATTAATTCTTTCGATTTTTTAATTTGTTGTTTACGTAAATACTGATCTCAGTTAATAATGTTACTATATTTAATTAGGCATCTAATATCTACTATTTTATTTACTTAAAAATGATGATCTTAGTTAATAATATTAAATATACATACTAAAATAATATAGAAACACAACATATATAAAATAAAATTAATAGCACAGTCATAAACAAAATTATAATTATTGTTCCTGTCCATTCTAGGTTCCGCCTAAAACGTCTTTAATCAAAATTATTTCTATAAAATAAAGAGTAACGAAAGGAACAACGATTTCTTATTTTTCAATTTTTTTTTATTATATATTATCATGTATAACTTACAAATACTAAATTAAATTACAACTGTGAGTATATGACAGACTAAAAGAGATTTCAACTCTAAATTACTCAAAATAAAAATATTAAACACTTATCTGAATAAAAGATAATTTCTTTATGCACTTCAAAATGAATAAAATAAAAAAGTTTAAGCATCTTAATAAAATAATAATAATAAAGCTTGAGCATTGTTTACGTTCACGTACATTCAGGGCATCCATCTTTCCATCTAACTGAAATTTGAATCTCCATTCCAAATAAATTCAATGTGTGGGTGAGCGATGCGATTCTAATATCAAAGCAGAAGTAACTCAAAACATAACTTATCTCATCTTATCCATATACCATTAACACTAGTAAAAAAGCTACAAATTAGAAATTAAACAAGAAATAACCAACAGGACAGTAAAGAGTTTTGAAGTGTGATGACAAGACTCGAAATTGGTAGTCACTGAGTATTAGAACAAGAATCGATGCAAATATAAATCCACGAAAGAGAACCGATATAAACAATCCACATGAACATGTTTACGAAAGAACCTACTCGAAGTTGAAGCAATGAAACACACATTGCTTGAAGTCCATCCATAACCACAAACCACAGTATGACTAGTCTACTCCAAATCAAGGATCTTACTACCTACTACTCACAATAGTATGTCCCCCAACACTAAAAGTAAAACCTCCTCCAGAACTTCCCAGGGTACCTTCATCAGCACTAATTTTTACCCACATAGAGCACTTTCCGAATTAATGGCGGGTAGGATATCAACTTTCACCTGAAAAATAATTTTCCATTCTGATATAATCATAATTTGCCAACAAAAAGAAATCTACTCATCAAAAATTCTATATGGCACTCAAATCTAACATATAGAATATGTAAATTTATACCGGGACAAACTCTTGCTCCTGCTCCTGCTACCACTAGGGCTCCTGCTCAAACTTCTCTTTTTGGGGCTTTTACTGGCTCCTTTCTGACGCTGCAAAATTGCAACATTGACATAAAATGAATATGAATATGCCAAGGTTTGACTGATCATGACCAGTCCGCCTATTGGCTCATAAGAGAAAATGAGAACATTCAAATGGCGAGCTAAAATCCATTTTAAAGCATGACAATTTGTCACGCTCTTACCAAAAGTAAGAAATGAAACCAAGATTCAAGCCATCTTTGTTTTCTCTAAAGTCGGGAAACAAAAATTTAGCTCTACTCCAACAATCTGAAAACTTGAATTGCTCAAATAAACAGATTAAAAGAGTGACCACCAAAATGGAGCAGTAACAAACAATTTTTGGATCAATCAAAGGCTTTATGAATAGTTTACTAAATTTAAATGAGAAATCACTTACAGAAGGCAGGGGAGATCTGGATCTTGATCGAGATCTGCAAAAGTTCCAGAAACAAATGCAAATTTTAAAATCCACACGTTCCTTTTAACAACTCTCACCAAGTGCCTTGATGCCTCTTCCACGTTAGAGATACCATATTCAAAAGAGATAAAAAGACAATCGCTTTAGCAGTTCCGAGAATAAAATATGCCCATATGTAAACCAACCAGCATCCAGTACCCATATCAAAAAGGCAGACTTAGTAATCATGGTGATTTTTTGACACTAGTGGGACAGGAGTGGAACAAGCTCCCCAACTGTACCACTGAATCCACATACAATTGATGTAGCACACCCTATTATAGCTTTGACAGCTGTTGGAGCAGATAATGAATTGTTTTTACCGTTCATTGATGGTGACTCCAGGGTCCCAATGGCACTTAGTTCACTGAAATCCAGCTCTATTATTGCAGTCCATTTGTCTCCCTTGTGCCCAATCTAGCACCCATGGACATTTGCAATGCTAAATAAATTAGAACAAAGAGACACCATGAAGGTTTCCAAAGCTGCCCATCTAAAAAACAGCATACCTCCAAAACCAAAAGAGTTGAATGCAACTGAACCACATCCCATCAAGACACTAATATCCAATCCCCAGTTCGCTGCATATATCCATATCTAAGAAAACAAACAAGCCTCCTCTCAAAAAAAAAAAGAGAGAGAACAAACAAAGAAACCAATTTTCACACAAGAGGGAAAAGGTGAAGAGTGTTTGGCAGGAGTGTTTGGCACTCCAGACTGTTTCCTTAGATATCCCTTAATTGAACAAAAAAAGCATGGTATCAAAGCTGAGTTTCTACAGTAACTACCACATGAAGAAAGTGCAATGCTGCTACAGAATATTTTGATACCCCAATTGACCGGCTTTACTAATTAAAGAGTGCGTTTACAACTCTAGTACACAATCAAATAACATTTTGTGAACACAGTAGATAGCCTACAGCATGATATATGGTAATAAATGCAGAATATCTGAAAAGCCAAAAGTTTCAAACTGATCAATGCTTGAAGTCAAATCATCAGCCAGATTCTTAACATGGAAGGATAGAAAAGTTTTTGCCAAATCCAAGTTCAGACTAATGGAAACAGAGAGACTCATCCTGGACAAAGTGCATAAACTTCAACTAGAATACAACCCCTTTTACATCCAATTTTCTATAGAAAGTTCGTTTTTCTAGAAATACACATTGATATGATTCTCATTTTCTGGAGGCTTCACTTTGACAATTTCAGTACCGGACAGTTATGTTCTGTCCTTCTATTGGATGGTTTATATCCTTTCAAGTTCTATGATTCCTATCAGTAGCCCATTAGTAATCTGCATCATGTTGTCAATTACGGTGACATAATATGGGGTATGCAGATTATTCTTTTAAGAAACGGGCATCTAGATTATTCTTCAGAAAAATGAGCATGCAGATTATCATCCCAACAAACACAAGTTGAAAGGGTAACAGTTCAGATATTGGACAACTTGATATAGAGCCCAAAACCACTAGCTGTTTATACTAATGCGAGAGGACGCCCCCAGTCCCACAATTCTTCATCCCACGTACAATTAAACATAAAAGAGATCCTTATTCATTAATTTTTTTTTTGAAATGCTACACATAGACCAATCCAACATGCCAACCCAACGTCCCTTCACTTGTTGCCCACACTTGGGTTACAGGCCTGCGCAACTTAACTCAGCAATCAACTTTTGCAGCATAAAAGTCAAAAGGCTTTTTAAAGAGACATGAATGGGTTTCAGGCTTTTTAAAGAGACATGAATGGGTGTCAGGCACTCAACCAACAAACAAATAATGAAGGTTCCAAGAAAGAAAAGCATGAACTGCTTTTGCATTGGAATAACTGAAACTGGATGAAAACCAAATATCCTGCTAACCCTTTTACTTGAGTTCCAACAGCATTTTTAACAAGTTGAATCTCACTTCCAAAACACAGAGGTTGTGCAGACAATGTTTTCTTTAATACTTTAAACTATCATGAGAACCACTTGTAGAATGACAGGCTTGGTATTTCTTATTTTAGGTACAAGTTTCCTGCTAGTATTTTCATTGTTCAGAGTAGTTATTCGTTAAAATATAGTTGATAAATTTTAAACTTTAAAGGAATGCCCCCAACATCCTGAAATAGAATACTTTAGCATATCTCCCAGGTTAGCATAAATAATGCATTTAAACATCCAGCCATTCACCAAATATAAACTATCATTTTCACCTACAAACAGAAGCGAAAAATGCATACCTAGACAGACTACGTGAACGCGACCGCGAACGAGGCGAAGCAGTCCTTGATCTAGACCTGGCTGGTGTGCGACGCGAAGATTTGGCTTTCGGGGATTTGCTGCGTTTAGTTCAGGGTTAACAAACAATGACTCCAATCACAAACTACAGGTGAAATTTAAATGACATGAACTAACCTCTTGCTCCTGCTCCGACTATAACTTCGACCACGACTGCGGCTGCGGCTGCGGCTTTCACTCCGACCTTTTGAGTAGGATCGACCACGACTAGGACTCCTAGAGTAGTCTCGCCTCGAATCATATTCCCTGACCTATATGCAAGTTGGATAAAATAACAATAATCATTATAGTTATAGTAGAGAAATTTTCAATTCTCAGACTGCAGTATTTTAATCATACCCGAACATATGCTCGAGAAAATGCATTTCGAAACTCGGAGTCATCAAGCTTTTTTATCTGTAGTTGAAAGCCACAAAATTTCACCAATAAGGATACAAATAACAAACTTCACCCACATAAAATCAAAACTGCCAGATATGAGAACGATGTTGATAAAACTTACTGCATATTTCATATCTTCATAGTTTGTGTAGTCCACAATTCCTGTTGTCCCTAAAGTTTTTAAAAAATCCATAAATCCCAACATGTTAAAACAATGTCTATGCATGCTTTTAAATTTAAAAACACCTTTGCAATATGAGAGTAGGATATCAAGTAAGTAACTGAAGATCATGCTTCCTAGTTAAATTTAAAAACAGTTTCCTCTTTATAACATATTAAGGCTTACCACTACCATCACGGAAGACTTGGGAAAAACAGACATCCCCTGCTTGGCGCATATGATCCTGTACAAAAGTACTTGACATCAAGATAAATAGAAATTGGAAAGTTAAAAAGTTAAAAGAGAATGCACAGCTGCAACAACATATTACTGATGTAGAGATGGAGGAAGGAAGAGGAATGAAACATAATTAGAAAATATGCACGAAAATGTTTAGATGCTCACCTTAAGGTCTTGCCACGAAGCTGAAGAAGGTAACCCTGTAACTAACACTGAATAACAGCAACTTAATGTTAAAGATCTACCATAGGCAGACAGCATAGAATAGTGCAATATATATAATAATTAATTACACACCACGATAATCGGAGCGTCTGGATGGTCCACGTCCACGACCACCACCATAACTACTGTGACGATCTATTGATGAACGCCCACGACCACCATGTGCAAGCTCCACCTATAATCAACGAAGGTGCGGTGCAAATATAAATACTGAAGTACCACAACTACTAAACAGTACAGGCTGATGTGTGCATCTAAAAGATTAACTAACCCGTAGCCGATGCCCATCAAAATCATAGCCATCGCGACCACGAATTGCATCTTCAGCATCCCTAGCTTCTGCAAACTATAATAAATAATTGCTTGAAACAAACATAATTCGATTTCGGCAGGGGGTATTTAAAACTGTTTTTTTCCCAACTGCACTATTTTTCTTGGTAAAACAGTAGTTGAGAGGATGGGAGAGGCAATACTATGAATAGGAAAGTACAGTAAACTGCATAAGGCATATTTGTACTCACCTCAACAAATGCATAGCCCGGGGGCCTTGGCGGGATCTTCAGGTCAATGGTAGTTATAGGTCCATACTGCATTCAGAAAACAGATACCATTGGGAACATCAAGCAAATTTACACTCAAACTATATATACAAATTTTCTTCCATGCACATAAAATATGTAAACTAATTAATAAGCAAACTGTAAATATCAAACAGCAAAGCTGGGCTTGTAAGTAACTTTCTAATGAAAAGAAATAAACATTATTCTAAAGGAAGAAAAAGAGTACATCAGAGGAGTTGGAATCCTCAAAAAATGTGAAAAAAAAGTTAAAAACAAAACAAAACAAACCAAAAAGAAATTAAAAAAGTCAACAAAAGGACAGCCAGTCAACATCTATGCAAAGTAGATATAAAAAGAGAGAAATGACATGCAAAATACTTTGCCAGCTAGTGCATACACCGATACATGAAAGATACTAGCACAATGGATTCATCAAGCTAGTGAGTTCAATCTTACTATGTAGGAAAAGTCTCTGTCTGGTGAGCTAAGTCACAAGTGGCAGGGTTTCAGCTCTAGTTTGGATAAAATGGCAAGGGTCAAAATTGTAAGAAGGCATATACAGGATTTGCTATTAGAGAGCTCGGAGGTGGTTAAACAGCATTGGAACAGACCTCGGATAACTGGAGGTGAGTTCTAACTTCTTGTTCTAAAATCTTGAAAGATTGGGGCATGGGTCTTTTTTTGCAACTTGTCAAAGATACTCAGATTTTGCTGATAGAAATTGCTTTATAGATGAAAACAAGGTTTTCCAACAGATCAAAATAGAATTCTAGGAGTTAGTTTCCACGGTTTCCATTAAATTGAAACAGAACTTTTCCCTTCCTTTCACTTCCATGAGATAAAGTTACTGTTGTACAAGAACTCTGCCTTTTCACATCCTTCATCACCTGTATTATTTTTTTGTTCTCTGAGAGCAGTATTAGTTTCAATTTCTAAAAAAAGAAGTATCCTTCCCAATATTAGCAATTAAACATATTTTCTACTGTGTTCCAAGGAAACATAAAACAATAATGTTTCAACCTAAAAATAGAATATGAAAAACATTTTCCATAACTAAACACACCCCTAATGTCCTTGTAATTAAGTGTCATTAAAAAACAGGTGTATTTCACAGGGCAAGCCTTGTTATGAAGTAAACATTTTTTTAGACAAGTGTAGTAGGTATATTAATATGTCAGCGCCAAGGGGGCATCACCCATGTACAAAAGATTATGAAGTAAATTTATGTCAGAAACCAGCACAAAGGTGGGAATTAGGAAGGAAATTTGAAATTCTGTTATTGTTTTTCATTCTTTTTTTTTGCCTTAGTTTTCTGTTATGTCCTTTTTGTTGCATGGCACTAGTGGAGCGGTAGAAGTACTGGGTAATCGGCAGTCCACTAGGGTAGAAATATTACAGTTGCCACCTGGCTTGGCATTATTATCGACTATATATACATAGCTAGAATGTAATCCAGAAGGATATATAAGAAAACTTTAAGAATTTCCTTTATCACCCTTATTCTCTTTACTTCTCCTTTCTTGGCATTATTATCGACTATATATACATAGCTAGAATGTAATCCAGAAGGATATATAAGAAAACTTTAAGAATTTCCTTTATCACCCTTATTCTCTTTACTTCCCCTTTTCCTCTTCCTTCATTCCCTCTCCTCTCCTTCTCTTCTTTCCTTCTCTTTGTCTCTGGCTAACTAACTCTAGGCTCTGTCAGCCACTCATAAGTCAAGGTATTGACAACTTAGTTTCAAATTTGGATTAGCAGACACAAAGAACCAGAAAAATAAAGGGTTGTAACCAAGGGAAAAAACAGCAAAAACGTCAAGTTTTCATCAGAAGAACACATGATTTTATTGTGATGTTCAAATTGGTTGATATTACGAAAAAAATATTAACATAGTATCAACATTGAGTGCAAGAAACACAAACCATATTGGTCTCCAATAAGAGTCATTATCACAGCAGAAATTGTTCATCACCTTAATAAACAAATCCTCTATTTCACTCTCTCGAATATCACCAGGGAGATTCCCAACATAGAGAGTTCTGCTCGAACGGCTGCTCATCCTTCCTGATAAAACAGAAGTCCATCTAAAATCAATAGACTCTTACAATAGTTTGACAGGTATCTGTGTATAATAAACAGAATAAATAGATAAAGATATAAAATTCATCTAATTATAAGCATTTAAACTTTATTTTATTTATTAAAAAAGACCAAAAAAGGGTGAAGAAAAGAAGCTTCTATTTTCATGTTTTTCGTTGAAGTATATGTAGCAATAACACATTTCAATAGAGGATAAAATTATTTTGTCCTCTTCTAACTTTAAGTATAAGAGAAAGACATATAGTGACACGCCTCCAATCTGTTCCATAAGTTACATTAAGAATTAAATCAATCAAGTGTGTTGTAAATTTTAATGAAACATAAAAGTGTGTTGTAAATTCTATGAATCAGAAATTGAAATTCCACCACAAAATGACACTATAAATTATAAGTATTGTCTACGAAAAAAAAAAAAAAAGGATAAGCATCCATACTAAATAAGTATGTTAATTTGAAATAGAATCACTTTAGGAATTGCTGATTGTTAAAAATGTTTTTAACATCTCTAACAGCAAGGTTTTTTAATTTCAACTTTCTGGTATAACTTAACTTGTTCAAGAAAGTCATTACGGAACAAATTTTGGACGCAATAATTGCTCGTATAAGGAAACACCTAGCACTATATGTACGGGCACCATGGAAGATTCATTTTCTCCGAAGAAAAGTGCACGAAGTTAGTAAAATTTTTACGAACTTTGAACTCGTCAATCTAGCCCACAATTTATGCCAACACCATAGGCCATAGCAGACATGTAAGAAGCAGTATAAGCAGAGGAAATCTACACCGAATGAGAAAATCTATACTGAATGTCAACTTAAGTCTCACATCAAAGACAAAAGCAAGAATGTTAGACGAAAATAAAGAAATCATATGATACAAACATTTCAACAAGTCAAAAAATTAACTCCCAAGCTTAGCTCATAAAAATCAGGTGCAAAGATACAAATCTAATGGTTAATCGACACGCTTAAGTTTCCACATGGAGACGTAACGAAGACAGAGGAAACGCAAGGAGAAATCAAATTAAGCCGGGATATTATACTATTAAACCAAATGAGTAAGAAACGAACGTAGATTAAAGAGAAGGAGAATGAGGATGCTGCTAACTGCTGAGATTCAGATCTTCGGGTGTTGCCGGTTCGCAGGGAAGAACACCTCGCTGTTGCAAGCGACAGTCTCTGGCAAGCTTCTGGCCGGAAACGATAAGTTGCAGCGGAGCTTGAAGATCGAGGATGAAGATCTGGGGGGTTCGTCGTCGCGGATTGTGGAATATAAAGTAGAGGATGATAAAGCGTGAGAGTTTGGTGGCTGAGGGATTTAATTTGGGGGTTTCATGGAGGTTGTAGCTGGAATTTTGGGGAGGGGAAAGATTAGTATTTATAGCAATGAGTTGTAGGGTAAAAGGAGAATGGGCTTAAGTAATGGGCCAAGCAGAAGAAAGTAATGGTAAAAGCCCAGTATTTGATTTGAGGTAATTTAGATTTACTTCTTATAATTTATTTTATTGTAGTTTTATACTTTGTAAGGGACAGTTATTTAAGTAAATATAATATATTTAAACAAATTCTATTTTACTCCTTACAACAAATTTTTATTTCAAACCAGTCTCCAATTAAACTCAAAAACACTTCAACTCTTCTTCTTATCACAAGGTTACTAATATTCAATCCTTCACATTTTCATTATATCTATAAAAAGAATATTGTCTGAATTCTTAATTTTTTAAAAAATAAATTTATAATTTTGATTATTTTAATCATTAATCAGTTAAAAAACTTTATCTTAAATATTATTTTAATTATTTTATACACATATGTAAAAAAAAATCTAACAAATAAAATTACAACGATTGCTATCAACTTCACTTTTAATTATTTTAGTTATTAACTGGCTAAGAAAAATTATTTAAAATATTATTTTAACTATTAATTGGCTAACAGATTTTTTTTTTTTTATTTTAAAGTGAAAAATTTTATTATTTTAATCATCACTCAGGGAAGAAATTTAATCTAAAAACTTAAATATAAAAAGAACTATAATAATTGTTAGAAATTTTATTTGGATAACTTGTAAAAAGTTTATAATTTAAATGTTATAATATACCATATTATTTAATCAATAACAATTATCTATTTAATTTTGTAAACATAAAAATAAATGAAGATCTACAAAAATTTAAGGTATGATAATTTCTTCATGGTAATTCTTTTTTTTTATGTTAACATAAAATTATATTTATATTATTTTTCAAACTATATCATCTTCATAGTAGAGAATGAAAATCTAATAAATACTAGTATTCAATCTGACCATGATTCTGTAAATGAAATACCACAAGAAGTTTAAGGGTGGTACCAATTGAGCTCAAAGATAAAAAGACATTATGGGATACCAACCGAGTTTTTGAGCACCCAAAAAGATTAGTACCAACTACGCGAAACTCAATTGGCGGATGCACCAAATCAAGTTGCTTTTTCATAGTAGGTACCAAATTCAACTAGCAATTCAATATCTGACCTGCAGCTACTGCAAAAAACTCATGTCTGTCTTATTACGTCGAGCTGCAGAGTAAATAAATGCAGGAAAAACATGTTCTTCCAATCTCAGCCAAAATGACAACAAAATAGACAAGTTAGGAAAGCAGCACAAGTACTTTCAGAAACTTCATGCACTCTTTATTCATGGAGCTTCGACAATTGTAGGTCCTAAACAGGAATCATGGTCAATGGGAATTATGAACTAAATCTTCACCGTCTTTGGTTTTTTGAGCTGCTGCTCTTAGTTTACGCTGCTCCTCTTTATAAATCCGATTTCTTCGCTGGAACTGAAATAAATATCCAGATGGATAAAAATGGACGTCAATGTAACAATTCAATAGTCATATAGATATGACATACCGTAATTTCTATGAGACTAAAGGTAGAGATTATTCTTTGACCAAACAGCCTCAATTGCCATGACACATACAATACAAAAGTAATTATACCCAAGGTAACTATGACTACAGTATAAATGCTAATAAGAGACTTTATAAGGATTAAAGCATTAAAAAAAATTCTGATGCTAAGAATTATAATAATAGGCTCTGAACTATTACGACAAATTCTATATCTAAAAGGGATATTATTCTAAACTTATTTTAAAAACCTCGGCCATTTCATTCTGCATCAAGAAGCCTAAGGAGGTGCTTGAAAAAGTTTTTGACATGAGAAGCTTATTATCATAATCAACATTCAATGTTGGTCGATCTCTTGTCAGGTAGCTAGGAAATGCATCATGTTTTCTCATTATACTGGAATTCTTACAACCCTAGGGAGACTGATGCAAGGTCACAACTGTTATTTATTTTTTATATATATGGTCATGAGTACTGGTTTAGAAATTTGATATATTTCGGGGGCGGGTAGGTGGGGGGTATGTTTTTTTATGAAACTAAGGGTTCCTGCAAGAAATAGGATTTCCTTTTAGTTAAGACACTATCTTAGGATTCTATCTAAACAAAAAAAATTAATAAAGTCAAGCCATGCCTTGACTCATTCCAGTTTCAATCCTATGTGCAACAGTGCAAGTAGCTAGCTACTGATGCACAAACATCCATGAAACCAAATAAATGGCAGGGTTATTCGATGAATCCCCTCCAAGAGACAAACACGCAAGCACAACTTTGTAAAGAAAAGTGATGTAAGAAAAATAAGGCCTGAGGCTGGAGAAAGAAATCAAGATACAAGCACCAACTAGAAGAAATAACCAGTTTTCATATCTTTAGAGTATAATATGCCCGTAACCACTTCAAAATAACCACGCAGTAATTGGATTCTTAGTGGAGAACATTTTTCATATTCGTGCAGTAAGCAATAACACATGCTAGAATCAATGACAAAATTCCACTTACTGTGCTATAAACAAGGTGCTGGGCTGATATTATAATGAAGAAAAAAATAATCTGCTAAACAGTTCAGGCATGATAGAATAAATTATCATTCTTTTGGTTATATAGGGAATTGAAACCCAATTTCAATCACCCACTCAGCACTTTAAATGAGGCTCATAGATCACACTTAATATAATGGATTCATAACAAGAATGATTACAACAGCTGAGATCCTTTAAACTTCAAATCGCGGAGGCCAATCCAAAAGAGATTTATCTTGATAGGCACATAAGTCGACAAATTCATGGTATGATTTGAAAATATCAAAGTAATTAAGCTTTGAAACCACTCAGAGGAGAGCATAATCTGGAATCATGATCAAGTATAAAAAATATCTCATATTTAAAAGAGAAAAAGTAAAAATTCTTATTGACTGAGAAATTAATGGAAAGGTAGAGAAGAAAGAGATACCTCCTTGGCATGATGGAGACATTCAAGGTAGTCTTCACGAAGGAGAGCACAATCCTTGGGTTCCCTGCAAGTCGACATGCATTCACTGAAATCAACCCAGAAATCATAGCACCTACCTTTGTTTCCAGTGATTCCCCATCCTGATGCCATTCTTCTCTCTCTTGCAGAACTTCTGCTCAACTAATGGTACTGATGTGCAGCTATGTGCTTTCTTTTGATACCTGGATTTCCAGTGGGCATTCAAATAAATCTTCAAGCTAGAAACATAAGCAAAAATTATGGTTGTTTATATTAAAATTAGGTTGGAGTAAAAGAAAAATAAGACAAGCACCCTCATTCTTGAATTTGAGAGATAGAAGCTCAACAACCCCAAAAAGGAAAATCTGATGGCACGTAGGTATACTAGTAATTTACTATTAAAAAATCTTATTATCTACGTTATTTTTATGTTTTTTTAGTTTATTTGTGTTTTAGTTTTTAATCTTCATCTTTATCATAATTAGTATTTCTAACCTTACTAGGATTAGTATTTTCTATCTTTATAGAAGTAGTGTTTCTAATCTTACTAGTGTTACTATTTCTTAGTTTAATCCTACTTGAAGAAGGATTACTTGGGAGTCTTAATTGTACAATTCAATCAAATCTTAAGCGTGATACCTAAGAACTCTAGGCATGATGTCTAGTTTTTTTATCTCTAAATCCCTAAGTAGACAAACTAACCTAATTTGCCCCTACATCAAAATCTGATCTCTATATGTGACCTGCCAACCATTACAACTTTTCCCCACCCTTCCCCTTCCTCAGTTAGGAAACTGATTTTCCTCCCTTCCAATTTCCACAACGATGCTCTTCATCCCTACCCCAGCAATGTCTATCAGTGTCTAAGATCATTTAGAAGCTAAAGACATAACAGCTGAAGATCCTAAAAATGCAAAACAATCAACTAAATATCTAAATGTTAAACATCCAAAGTTCTATATCAAACATAGAAACAATAGTTTTTAATCAAAATACAGAAAACTAAAAGCATTCAGATGTCAAAACATCGAAGATCCTGCTAATTCTCCTCTAAAGAAAACTAGTCGAATAAATTCCTATTGTGGAATGATTTGACTGAGAAAAAAACCAGCTTGAACTTTTCCCCTTCTTCGAAGCATTCAGAAGTAAAATTCCCTAAACAAAAAGGTAAAGGAAAAGTAATGAAGGCCGGGATTGCCCCTACAATTTAGCAAAAGTTCTATACGGGTGTCCTTAGATATTAGCGGCTAAACTTAGGAAAACACGCAATTCTTTTGCTTCGACTTCAACCAAAACCACCTGAAGCATATGGTGCTGAATTTCAGCCACCATCTCCACAGCCAACTCGGCCACCAAATCCAAACTCGCATCGGAAGATGAATTTCAGTAGTAACTGACCTTAATTAATATCTTGACTTGTATTGGAAAATGAAGTCAGTAACAATCTCCAATTCCAAATATCACTCAAGATAAAGCAAATTGAAAAAAAAAAAAATCGGAAAGCCAAAACCTTTCCAAGATACGTCCAACCCTAAGTGATGAATACGACTTACCTAAAGATACAAAAGTACAAAAGAAAGAGTCTGAACAGGATCGATAGAGAATGCGCAACAGAGATCTGGAGAGGGAGTGAGAGTTGCAGGCGAAAGGGGGAAATAGGAAGAAATCGCGGTGGTGGGAGACGGCGAAGCCGTGTATGTGCAGAAGGGCAAGCGGCGAGTGGGGATAATGCGCGTGTAAAAACGAAACGAGGAAGAGAAGCATCCCTTGGACCGTTTCATAGTGATGTAAATACTAAAACTTGTAAGGTTAGAATAGTCAAGGTATATCAAATCCGCGGGCCAAACAGGCAAACTCAGTTGGGATTACTGGAGTTTTTTTTCTTTTTTTATAATTATAAAACAAGTAATTTTATGTGTTGCTGAATAAATATTATAACTTATTCTAATTAATTATTTATAAACATCAATCACAAATTAATTGTAAGTAATTAATCAAATTTTTTATGTTTTAAATATTATATATGCTTTTTCCATCTATATTATTTTAATAATAATTTTATTGAGTAATCTGAGATATTCATCTTGTTTATTCAAAGTATATGAATTAAATTATACTTTTTCTGAAAGAAATACAATTATTGTAAGCAAGCATAAAATTCATTAACTTCTCTAAATTTTGTCTAAATAATAAAACAACTGAAAAAAAAAAATCAGTCTTCATATATGTCTTATAAATTATTAATCAATTAACTTAAACATTTTTAATAATTTTATAAAATTTAAAATTATCTATATTAATATATAGATTCACTATATATCATAATAATGCATGTAGTGCACGTAAACAACTAATATTTCATATCACAAGAAATTCTATACATTATACTTAATTTGTTGATATGTTCATACATATGTTCACAGGAGCCTAAAATATCTAATACTAAAATTCAACAACTCACTTGGCAAAATAACTTTTTTTTGTATATTCATAATTGATTTATAATTTAATTAAATTTAAATTATTGAGTAAATAAATATAATTAATTACACTGTTAAGTAAAAATAAAAATAATTATATTTAGATATAAGTACAAATTGGTCGGAACTGACTTGGCAGATATCAGATCTCATTTTCAGTGTATTGTGAAGAAATTTTAAAATTTTGTTCAATATGTTTGTATTGTAAAAATCAATTGTTACACTTTAAAAGCTTGACTATCTAACTATTTTAAATGTTATCTGAAAGAAAAATTATTCAATGTGGGACTAATTATCTTTTATATTCTTCTTAAAATCTTCTCTATTCTTCTTAAAGCTCGTATTTTCTATCATTGATTATCTCCATAAATGTCGTTGTAGATTACAAACCTCGAACGTCTGTGTTTTCTATGGTACTGAAAAAGAAAATATTAATCACTTATTTTTACATTGCAAAACCTATTGGTTGGTATAGAGCAATTGTTTGTATTATTGGATGTTAAACGGACTACTTACTCCCTATTATATTTGGTCTCTTTGCGGCGCCTGAAATCATATTGACAACTATTCTCAGAGATAGTTTGTGTTTTATTAAATATCTCTTTTTCAGAAGTATTAGGGTCGTGGAGTTTAACAAGATTGAATATTGTATCAGTTTATAAAATATCAAAAAAATTCGTAAATTCTATTACCTTAATCAGTAAAAAGAACAATATCATTTGTTTTAATTTAAACAGTACAAGTTACTAACAAATGAAGTCTATACAAATCTCAGTATTTTTCTAAATGTGTTTTAATCTCAATCCACTATTTTCTCATAATTGTACAAAGAATTTTATTCTACAATATCAAAACTTCTCTGCAGAGAAAAAAAAGATCACATAATACAACAATATCATCCGAATAGAAGGATAGAACTGTCTCCAAAAGCCACTTCGCTTCCTCATTGGCTAGCTTGCTGGTGAACACAACATCTTCCTAGATCAGTATCAACTCCTTCGTGTCTGCAAATTCGATGTAAAAGGATGCAGTCAAGATTAGCGAAAAGGATGTGTGGCATATACAATGCATAATGTTTATAATTCGGTATTTAAAATATTTGAATTATATATCTTAATATTTTAGTTGATAAGAGAGGAAATACTTTAATATATAGAAGCTCAGTACTGTTGTAATAAACTGAAGGTATGTATATTGTTGATGAACTCTCGAAGGTTGAATGTTGATGTTTTGTGAAGAATTTATACACAAAGATTTAAAATATGAATAAAAAAATAAAACGAATTAAATAGAAAGTGTACAAAAAATTTACCAATTAACTTAAAGGGAAAATAATCAATAATTCCAAAAATTAAAATTTTCAATGTAAAACAATGACCGTGATATATAAGCATATAAAAGTTACAATGGGCTATATATATTTAAACCTGTATTTCCATATACAATGGGCCTACTCTTAATTTACATGCATATATAGAAAAATATACTGCTAAAATTTTACTCTGTATGGTCTTAGAAATTACCCATTTAATATGTATTTTCTTAAAGGTGAAAATTGTGTTCTACAAAATTGTATTTAATATGTATTTTAGTGGTACAAAAGACAAAAGAGAAACAAAATATAGATAATTTTTTCTGGATTAATTTTTATGTATCTAAAAAACGATATTATTATTTTGTATTTTATAAAGAATCAAAGTAATTAAGCTTTGAAAGGAGAGCATAGTCTGGAATCATAATCAAGTATTAAAAAAATATATCATTTTTAAGATTAAAAAAAAAACTAAAGAATTCTTATTGACTGAACAATTAATGGAAAAGTAGAGAAGAAGGAGATGGAGACGTTCAAGTTAGTCTTCCAGAAGGAGAGAGCAACCCCTGAGTTCCCTACACGCGTTCACTGAAATCGACCCAGAAATCTTCTGCTCAACTAATCTTTCAGCTATGTCCTCACTTTTGATACATGGTTTTTCAGTCTGTGTAAAACGACACGAGCCCCCTCCAGTTCGGAGTCGGAGACATACATATATATATACGCTCTCCAGTTCGGAGTCGGACAAGCCCCTCCATTTCGGAGTCGGACATATAAATCTCTCCGGTTCGGGTCGGACATAAATGTATATATATATAAACGTTACCCACTCCCCAGGAAGTCCATCTTCATTAATATTTTAATTCCTCCAAGCTCTCTTCCTCCTTTCCGATCTCTCAGAATATGGCAAGCGTAGTCCCCGGTCACTCTCTAAACTCTTCACCGGCGATGTTAAAATTTCCCAGCCGCAAAAATGTTCGATGGTCACCTCCCCCAGAATCTTGGGTCAAAATCAACACCGATGGAAGTTATGTCAAATCGGCCAACGTCGGCGCTGCAGGTGGGCTGATCCGTGATCATGAAGGCAACTGGCTTTGCGGTTTTACCGCGCACCTCCATGATGTTTCTAGCTCTCTTGAGGCGGAACTGAAGGGTGTCAAGATCGGTCTGGTCTCGGCTCTTTCGTCTGGCTTCCTCGACGTTGAACTTGAGTCCGATTGTTTGGCAGCTGTAGAGTACATCACTTTAAATTACAGATGTTTTCATTTTCAAGATTTGGTAGACGAGTGCAAAGAGTTGCTAAAGAAGTTCCGTAATGTTCGTGTTCATCATGTTTACCGTGAAGGAAATCACTGCGCAGATTTTCTATCGAAATTTGGCTTGCGTCAAGAAAGTAAATTGCTATACCATGATTTTCCTCCCAAGGCTCTTTCCTATCAGCTAGCTAAGGACGCAGAGTTTCTTCGAGTTATTCCAATTTGCAGGATAATCCCAGCTCCACAATTCATTCTAATCCCCAACGTCAGTGTTGTACCAATAGCACCTTTCATCTGTTAATCACTGTTGTGTATTATTATTATTTTTTTTTTCGAAGATTCAAGAAATGTTGTATTTGTAATTCAACAATTGAAAAATTAATGAAATTTGAATCATATT